GAATTTGCCCTATAAAGACTTGGACCAGTGTCAAAAAAGGCTGCTGATCCAATGACAGATTTATGTTTGGATATCTCCAGGAAAACCACAATGCCTAGAAATGATGTGGGATTCTCAGCTTGGACACGGTGCTTAGACTGTTTTGAGAGACATTGAAACTCACATAATTCTGATTATCACCTGACTTTTTTTTTTTAATACTTGTTTCAATACAAACCTGATTTTGGTGACTGATATTTCAAAAATTAACTAGAGCTCGAAATCGGTACTTTATGCCATTAGAAAGCAAGTGGGAATTCCAGTCTTCATGGTCCGGTGACTGGTGGTTCCCTCCCTAGGGCCTGATCCAATGGAAAGACCTTCATTGAATTTAGTGACGTTGCCTCAGCCCTTATTACCGTCAATCCCCACAGCATGTGCTCTGTATCTTCCCACTGGAATCTCTTTCTGAAAGTGCTACAGATGGCAGGTCTGATGTAGGCTGGAGTTATTCCCTATGTATCCCTCCTTGTCTATCTGTCACATCACGCCTGCAGAGCGGATATTGTGCAAGACGTGGCTGCTACGATCGCCATGGAATTGACGTGGGGGGGGGGAGGAGTCAGAATGACAAGTTTTTAAAATGTGGCTGTCCTCGTTTTGCTGAGTTATTAAACATTAAATTTTCAGAGCGTCCTGAATGCAGAGGGCCACAAAACTGAAATACGAGGTAATGACCAAGTGTAACTCTAGCACAGAGTAGAATAGCGCTGGCCAGGAGGCTAGGCCAAAATTTGCACTCCCACTACAATGCTCCCTTGTGACTGGAGTGCCCACAAGGGTGAAGCTTTGGGGAGCATAAGCCACTGGGGACACCTGGAGGTTAGCACTGGTCTTGGGGCCTAGCTCAACAGTACCCTGGGTCCAACAGCCCAAGGAGTGGTGCCAAACAGAGCAGCTGCACCCCCAGAGTATGGGTGAGTGACCCCGAACTAGAGACGCTGTCTGGATGCTGCTCAGGTGCCGTTGTCTTGGGAGCACATTGGGTCCCAGAGTTGGCTCCAATCCACAGGGAGGGACTCGGCCAGGGCTGTCACACCATCCCCAGCAGAATCATAGAATCTCAGGGTTGGAAGAGACCTCAGGAGGTCATCTAGTCCAACCCCCTGCTCAAAGCAGGACCAATCCCCAGACAGATTTTTGCCCCAGATCCCTAAGTGGCCCCCTCAAGGATTGAACGCACAACCCGGGGTTTAGCAGGCCAATGCTCAAACCACTGAGCTATCCCTCCTCCCTGAGAAGCTGTTGGAGTCACCAACAGTTTCTATATCCATGGTAAAGAGGCACCATATAGGAACAAGGAAGAAAGTAAAGCTTCCCAAATGGGAGCGCCATGTGCTGGACACAGTTAGGAACTAGTAGAAAAGGGGGGTTTTGGTGGAAGCTAGAATTTACCCTTAATTACTGTGGTACTCTGAGCACCTGAATGGCACACTGGAGTGGATAAGACGTGGATAACCTCAGTTCTGGCGCAGAGAGATTCCATCTGAGAGAAGATGGAAAGGGAAGTCCAAACAGCTGACTTAACCTCTTGCTTAACCACAATCCGTTTCCCCTGCATTTTGTGAATTGACTGGAGCTCTCTCTGGGCGCCCAGGAAGCTGAATAAAACACAAAGGGTCTTCTAAGTGCACATATTATCTGAAATCTGCATCTCTAGCTTGCACTGCCTCATGCTTAATTTGTAACGCCTCAAACTTCAGAGCTTTATGGAAACTCTCTGGGATTAAAGACCAGTTTGACCCACGAGCTGAGAATTTGCAAAGACATGGGTCAGACAGAATCAACGGAACGCTACCCGCCCTGTGCTTATAAAACTGGCTGTTGGCACAGCTAGAGAAAAACCAGCCTCGGAAATGCCTTGGGAAATAGGCATTTGAGCCACATTATAGAGGACAGCCACAAGGCGCAATGCTCCCACATACTATTCCCATGAGCAGCATATCCAATCCGAGGTCTCAGCCCTGCAAGATGCTGAGCTCCCTCCACTGCACTGCAGCACCTCCCAAGAGACGGTCAGATGAGTAGCCAGCGGGCAGAAGGGGGCGCAGACTGGTTCATGTATTGGTACTGGCACTCTCAGCAGAGAGACGGGTTAAATGGACCTGAACACCCCACTCTAGTCTATCTAGGCAGAGTTAAGGAAAATTAGCAAAGGTTCCAGGTGGAACCCTACTGCTCCCTTTGGCTGTGCCATACCTGTCCTCTGGCAGGGGGATTTCAGTCTCCAGGACTTTCAAGCCAACACTTTTCATCAGCAATAAGAATTCTCTTCAAAGCCAGGAGAGATTAAAAATGAAAGCACTGTTACACAAGGCAAGGCCAGCATTCTACAAATTAATACATTCTACAGCTCCTTTCATTCAAGGATTTCAAAGCACCAGTAAAACACTAATTACACCTCACAACCCCTCTGTGAGGCATGGAAGGGGGTATACAGAGGGGTCACATCCCTAAGAAGCAGGGAAAGGGGTATATAGAGGTCAATTTCCTCACCACTGGAGTGGGATGTGTCAGGTATTAGACTGTAAGCTCTTCAGGGTAGGGACTGTCTGCAAAGTTGGGTTTGTACAGTCCCCAGCACAATGGGGCCCAATTTTTTGTTAGTCCTTAGGCACAACCGTAACATCAGGGGTCCCTGTACCTCACTGCATGGAGGCTGGATGGGTGTCTTTGTATAAAGGACCCAGAGAAATGCAAAAAATGAGAACAGTCCACTGCTGGACAGCAACCACCTCTTTCAATCTTTGTTATGGCACTACATGGATGCATCCGAAATAAATTACTAGATGAGGTGAAATCTACCCCATGCAAGGCAGTAGAAGGCCTGTGCAAAGCTGAAGTCCCATTTAAGTGACACATATGCCTTGTGCTGACTTTCTTCCCATCTGGAGTGAACAAATGTTTTGGGGAACTCAGCATCTTACTGCTGCCTTCATTGAAAATGCCTGATGTGATTCCCCCCCCCACCCTTTCTTCAACTTCTTTACTTATTCCTATTTATTTATTTGTGGGACATTCCTTATTTCAGATCAAAACCCTCTTCCCATGCAGGAAATATGAACTTATACCACTACTCAAATCCACTGTTAGCCAATATGCGATGTTTGAGCTTGTTAAAGGAACACGGTCAAGATAAAAATTATACTCTAAAGCGATTTTGTTTATTCATGTTATTACTAACACTTGATATTAGAGTTAAGGAAAATTAGCAAAGGTTTAGCAAAAATTGTTTGTAATTAACTCAGCTTAGAAAATGAAAACTAGACCAGTCAGTTTCACTTCCTTGTTCTCTGTCATTAGAGCCACATGAGAAGGTATTCTCCCTAATGCCCTCTAAAACAAATTCTTTCTGCAGAAACATTTCTAGTGCCATATTTTGCAAAAACCTTTCTGCGTTGTTACTAACTCCTGTGATTTTATTGAAAATTATGCAATATTTGGCATTTTTCTTGAAGACCTAACTCCTGGAGTCAGGTGATTACTTGAGAATTTCAGCTTTTATTTTAAACAGGAAAAAAAAAGTTTCTAGCTCTCCTGGTTGTGAAGAAAAGCTGGAAAATCGGACCCCTAACGGCTCAAAAACCAGAAGGTAAATTAAAAGAACCCAACGTTTATTATTCTCATTAGATCTTGTGATTTTTAAGCCAACCTCTTGATTTTGGGGTGGGTCTGACATGTTTTTTGAATGTTTGAGGTCGGCAATACTGCTTTCTAAATGCCTCAACTAAATTTGTGCTTGAATTAATTCAGTTTTGTCCAGTGCCTCTTATTAAAGCTCTAATAACTGTAGGGCTAAATTATAATAGGACTATGCATCCACACAAGGGGGTAAACCCTCCCTCCCCCCGACCTGTACGCACAGTACCCAGCTTTTGGGCTAGGCATGTAGGAGTAAGCAGGGCTATTTGCCTACTTACTACTTCCCCAGAGCAGGTGGATGGGAAGTGGCAGGAAATGGGACAGGCCTCGCCCCCCCCCCCCCCCCCCCCCCCCCGCCCCCCGGGCGGGGGGGGGGGGGGGGGGGGGGAAAGGGGGCCGGCCCCCCCCCCCCCCCCCCCCCGAGGCATTGGCTGCAGTAGCTGGAAGGCGGAGGGGTTAGCGATTTACTCCTGATACTGATCGGCAGTAAGTTACTATCCTCCCACCCCCCAACCTGGGAGCAAAGAGAAAGCAGGTGTCTCTTAAGTCACGGCACCTCCCAGAGCTACTCCTGTGGGGTGCAGCTTAAAGACCACTCCCAGCTTAGGGTCTAAAGTCAGACTCCAGGCCCTAATTCTGAACAGCACTTAAGCAGGTGCCTAACTTGAAGCACATGTGTATGTGCATCCCAAAGTTTCTCCTGTACAGGGAACGTGGGGCTGCCCCAAGGCCACTGGGCTGACCTAGGCTCAGGTTTAAGGACATCTACAAGAGGGACTTGAAAACTTTCACCATCACCACCATAAGCTGGGAAGATACAGCTAGCAACAGGCTGCACTGCAGCAGGGAGTCAGCGAGGCTGAAGAGAGGGGGTTGAGAGACGGGAAAGCAAAGAAAGCTGAGAGGAAAGTACAGAGCGCTAGCAGTGCACTGGCTTCATCTTCTGGCCCTCGCCTTAAGCCTGCATTAGCTGTGACAAGGACTTGAGAATTGGACTTTTTAGTCACTCACGACGCTGCAACACGGCTCCTGAACTGCTTCAGCACTTACACCGTCGTCCTTCGAAATGGACGGCTGCCAAGCAACATCCCACAATCCTCCGGAATTGGGTCCAAGCCCTGCAATTGTAAGATCTCTGGGGCACAGGCTCTGTCTTCGTATTTGTCTGTAAAATGCCTAGCATGGTGGTGTTGCTATACAAATGATATCAACATTTGCTGTAATCAAACGAAAGGTAAAAGCTTTCAGTCTATCCATGTGAATGAACAGATATGAGATGCAGGTATCAAACAGTAATTTAAAGATGGCTCAGCAGGAAATTAAACTTAAGTTTCATTTATTCTAGGGCAAACTCAAAAGGTTTTATTTTTTTTTTTTTTAGCAAATTCTATCACATAAATGTTAACAAAAAAACATCTGTACATTTGCCATGATACACTCAAAAGTTAAACAAATAAGATATAAATACAGATATGGATGTAACATGACAAAAGCCAAAAAAAGAAGGAAAAAAAAGAAAAAAAAATACATGCGCATGAACACTGTGCCAACAAAATCATTTCTTATGGCTGACATTTTTCAGAGCAGTTTTTACTTCCCATTTAAAACATTATTGTTAGCAAAGTCCTGCTGTATTCTACAAAGTTTTATTTTCTGTCCCTTAATATGTCATATTATGCTTGATAAATAAAGGGATGAGGAGGGGAAAAGATTTAGATGACAAAGATGCGAGTTACGTTACTTATACAGGTTATTGGTAAGCTAGTAATAAGCAATAGAAAAGAAGTCTTGTCTTGTCTTGTAATCCAGGCAAGCACACATAGTGTACCTTAAGAAAGCCACATGCCTCAATAATTCTGCACTACATGAGAGAACTACAGAACTTAAAACTGTGAGGGGGATGTATCAATTGATTTGCTCATGCCCATGGAGCACTGGTACAGCCAATGACAGAATGGCCATCCTTGTCTGAGATTTAAGCAACCCCACAGCCAAAGGGTGCTGGTATTTTCACAGTTCCTCACAGTCAGACTTTACAAGCATGGTGGGCAAATCAAAGAAACGTTTTTCTTGTAAGATACCAAAAACTGAAGCCCTGTATAATGGGCAGCAAGAAAAAGGCAGCTGTTGTAGGTGGCTACTGCTGGGAAAACATTAACACCTGCCTCACTGTCGCAGTGATGTCTCGCCAACATGCAGATCCTTCTCTGCAAATGTGCCCGCGGACACTGTCAGATTTGTAGCCAGAGAGACCTTTATGCTTGCGAAAGAAAATATGATTGATCAGCTTTCAGAATGCAGAACACTGGAGATCATACAAGTGACATTCAGAGCTAGCCCTTTGAGTACTTCAAAGGAAAATCCGGTCATGTTCAAAACTCTAAACCAACCTTACTATGTACATTATACGCAAATGAATTTATAAATAATTGAAGCAGAATGCCTCCTACTGTATACAGGTGTAACAGACATCTAGAGTACTCAAAGGATGAACAGTCCTTGATTGACTTGTGTAATCAAACAAAGTATCACATTAATGAGCATCTGTTGATAAACAAAACAGTATCTGATTAAGAAAGTAAGGCCTGGTTCTGTGATTTGCAGCCCCAATTATGCTAATAACATCTGGAAATACAAGCTCATCACTGAAGTCTCAAAGCAGCAGCAGCAACATATTTCACATGTATTTCTAAGAGACGAGTTGTTAATTCGTACTGTAGTGTCAGCGTATGTGGTAGGTCAGTTTATGGACGTTACAGTGCATTCACTCAGTGCATACTAACAGTATTTTATAAAATATATAAAATCATTTCAGAAGGAATTCAATTCACATAGATCTGCTACAGTGTGCCATTCAAACAAACAAACAAACAGCAAACCGGGATGGAACAAGATCGGTCACACAGCTGGAAGGACTAAGCACACAGCACAGTCCATTACGCAGACTTTGCATTCCACTTCTGGGGTTTGGACCCCAGAAGATGCTGAACTGAGATGGGAAAAGCGACTTTTAAAATACTGACTGTTAGGAAAGCAGTTTAAAAATAAAACACCCTAAAAATTCAAATGGGACAGCTGATTGCTGCCAACATATTGATTGAATATTTCCTCAAAAGGGAAAATTAATTCACGTTAAACTAAAATAATTCAAATCATCCACAACAAGAATTAAAAAAAGAAGAAGAAAACCTCTAGCAAGCGTCTCGAGAAGGGGTGAAAGTGAATGGTCCATGCGAAGGGAGACTGGATTTTATTGGCTAGCGCAGGTTATAACAGCCTCCCTCCAATGAAGGCATTTTCGAGTCTGCGGTGAGTCTTTGGGGAAACACCACAACACAGGCTAGTAAAGATCTCTCTTATGATGGCGTTATATGCAGGAAGAGCAGCAGACAAATTGCCTGATCCTGCAGCCAGCATAAGATAGGGCCCGTCCTGAAAAAACACAGGAGCCGGATTGTTCCTTCCACTTTGTCACACAAGGGATGAAGGAGGCTGAAAAACCTGCTGCTTTGGGGCCCGATTCTGCCGGGTCCCAAGACAGCCTCAACTGTTATTGATTTCAATGGGAGCTGAAGGCCACTCAGCACCTCTCAGGATCAGGTCTTTCAACAAACTGATGGGGGGGGTGTTGAGTCGACATGGCATTAGCCTTCCCTGGGTGGGTGTCTATGTGGACGCCAGGCCACTCTGCAGGGGATGTGCAGAGCCTGGGAGGGCCCCTCTGCTGGTATATTTCACTGGGGCTGGGTTGGTTCTAAGTTTTCCCTGTGCTGATCAGTCCATTCAAGAATTCTGCCAGCCTTGCCTATTACAGGGGCCCGATCCTGCCTGGGCTGAGCGACCCCATCTCCACTGAAGCCAATGGCAGCTGAGGGCACTCAACACCTATCCAGAGGTGCTAAGTGCCTTGCAGGATTGTACTCTGGTTCTGTCGGCGAAGAAGAGGTTAAAATGCTGGTTAACTACACTGCAGGCTTTTTAGGCACAAGGTCATGGGCGGGGGGGGGGCACAAGGTCATGGGCGGAGAGGGTGCAGGAGGGGGGGGCGTTGTCTTATTAAACACTAGGGCCAAGCTGCAAGTTTAAATGTACAGGAATATTTTGTCCGGTTAAGAGTTCCCCTTTACATTTCCTGAGCCAAACGAGGCTCAGAAGTGTGGAGGGGAATGGCCCATGGTAATTGAGGCTATTCATTATCCATCACCAGAGCTGTTGAACTAGAGTTGTAGATCAGCCCCTTTCAGAACAGACTTCAACAAAAATAAAGATGTCTCAGCTAGTTTCACAGACTTTGGCAAGTCTCCACTGCGCAGTCCTGACGACAAACCCACTATCCTGCCTTTAAAATGAACCCCCAGGGTCTTCTGAGCAACGGAAGAAGATGGAAGGCCGGGCTGATGTTAACCCTGTTAGTTACAGGTGGGAGACCCAGGCTGCTCTTGTTAGACGATACTGGCGGGTGGGGAAAAGCTGCAGAGAAATTCTTAGCCCATATGGAAATCTGGAACTTTAGCTATAAAACTTGGATTTTTCTAATTACTCAATAAAGGTACCGATCCGTCTTAAAGCATTAAAAGCCAGAAGCATGGCAATATTTGCAAAGATTTCATCATCAAGATCTTGCAGTTTAGGCGCGTTTCAGATCAGAGTATAGAACGGGGACACACCACCGCACTTGGGAGGTGAAGGGTCTAGCCAAAATGGGTTACATCCAGAAGGAAAAACTGCTCACACAGCAGGTAATTTAATACATTAAAAAACAAAACTTTGTGTCAAATTAACTAAAAAAAGGGACTCATTTCGCTTTTAAGCATGAACATGTTATTTGGACTCAGTTCTGAAACACTGCAACCTAAACATATGGTAAAGATTTCAGCTGGCTATACCAATATGTTTAAGTATGGCTTTCTACGGTTGTTTTTTCTTAAATGAGGACTGCAACACAGGCCTTGCTTCCTTTACATTCAGTACCAATAAGAGTCTACATAAAAGCTTTAAAGGACTAAAATACTGATTGCAATAAATATCTGCATGGCCTCCTTTAGCTGATGGGACGTGCCAATGAAGAAAGGGTAGCAGAAAGGTCTCTGAGAGGCACCGCTGATTGCTTCTAAGTCTACACACATGTCCAGATATCTCCATTAACTGTGCGTTGAAACATCTGAAGATGAGCTGCTGTTACTATTGGTGGTCTGGGCCCTCTTTATGTACAAGTTTAGTAGCTTCATCTGGAAGATAAAAGAAGTTAGAAGAAGATCAAATAATCCAGAAAAGAAAGACAGCAAAAGTTCACTGGAAATATTAGGGCAAAACCCTTAAATGTGGATCCTGCAGTGAGCTCTGTGTGGGGCAGGGATCTGCCCATGAAGGATCAAAGTATAAATCAGGTAATAACATGAAAACAGACAGTTACTAAAATAAAAAAAAAATTGGTAGCAGGAAAATATCTGGGGAGAAATCCTGTCTACATCGCAGCGAATGGCAAAACTCCCACTTCAGTGAGGCCTGAATTTTTACATTCATTGTTGGCATTTTTCAGGGCATGGCCCTGATCCTGCAATCTGATCTGTGTGGGTAGGAGTCCTGTCTGTCGCTCTGTAGAGGTGCAGGGATCCACTCACACAGAACAGACTGCAGGGCCGTAGCCTACATATTATGAAATGTTCTTGATACCACACAGTCAGTGAAGACACAAGCCAGCAGGGGCATGTGGTATAGCCAATTAATTCTTGTATGCAGGACAGCGCTGGATTGAGGGCTTGTCTTCACTGCACTGTTAGCTCGAGCTGTCATGAGTGTTGCCCCTAATCTGACTCCTGTGCATACACAAACATGGACTGAAGCTTGAGTGTTGCCAATGCTCAAGCCAGTAAGGCAGTGGGGTCTCAGCTACTCCATGCTGCTAATCCTAACACTCTGTGCTGCTCAAGGGTTGTTTTGCAGTGTGGCTGCTCTAAATCAAGCCAGGCTAAACTAGAGAGGGGTGAACTCAAGAGAGCTAAGCCTGCAATGAAGACAAGCCTTCAGTTGCTGAGAGCACACACCTTTCAGTTACCTAGTAGAAAATATTCAAGAGGCTGTAACATTGTACCTTGCTTCCTGTGAGCTGTGCGAGGTGAGGTTTCAGTTCTTCTCCAATTACTGAATAAATTGCCACTAGGCAAAACACGCTGGCTTTGCGAACGCTGCTCTCTGTATTATCGTACCCCTAGACCAGGAGAAACAAAAAGGTTGCACAAATCAAAGGTCACTTTCCAAGATCTTTTCCAATCAGTTTACTAATGAGCTGGTAAACACTTTACAAAATCAACAGAAAGACTCTCACTGAGTGTAATGGGCTCTAGATTAGGCTCGTGAGGAATTGTACCTTCAGTGGTGTATTTTGCTGGATCTGAGTTCTTTCTACTGCTATCATCCGTGATGAAGTTTCATAGTGAGTTCTGGATCCATAAAGGGATTAAACTAACACTGAGGGCTCAGTTCTGTCCTCACAAATATAGAAGAAACTCCCATTGATGACCGTTGGGTTGTAAGTAGGTGACAGAAGGAAGAATTTGGCTAATACAGAGCCTAAGTCTTTCCATTGACTTCAATGGCCTTTGGATCAGACCTTAAAAGCTTGATATGGCATGAGTTTGGCAGGATCGGACCCAAAGGCTGTTTTGTGAAGTGCATTAGGATCCTCAAATGGAAGCTATTTGTTTGTAGCACTCAAACCACCATGGCATCTAGGTGCTATAAAGTGCAAATTATTAATATTGTGTACTACTATCGTGTCTTTTTAAGACAGACAAGGTGGGTGAGATGTTGGTGAAAGAGACAACAGAAGATGGTCCAATAAAAGATATTCTCCCACTCACCTTGTCTCTATTATAGCCTGGGACCAATACGGCTACGACACTACAAACAATGTAAGATAGTTTTTTTCAAGATAATTCATTTATGCATGTAATATTTATTTTGAAATAGGAAAAGCACACTACGCTAAGCTATGTCCTCTGCATATCTGCCAGGCCCAGCTGTTCAGATGAGCTACGTTACAATACACTTTCCGATTAACTTCAGGCAGGAACTACTTTGAGACAGTATGTCATGTGCTCCTTGGGGCTAGTGGGCCACATCTCTAAAAACGGGAGAGACCTCAGACTAGCCATCAAGCCACTGCAGCTCTATGGCTCATGCTGCTAGTTCTGCACTCAAGTGATCATTGATCAGTGAACAGCAACGAGTAACAGATACACAGCTACTTTGGTGGACTGCATGCTACAGGCTGGCATGTCATTTCGCAGCGTTCACCCAAGCAGGGCTGGTATTTTTACTGAGGGGCCAGCACAGATTTCTACCAACAAATTAAAATGTGGCTTTTTTAGGGGAGGAAGGAAGCTAAATATTGTTCTAAATTTGTAAATTACCCCCCGCCCCACTCCCGATTGAGTTGCAACGGGAGGTGCAACTGCAGCTCGGGTAGGCATGTCTGTGCTGGCTTTGATCTAGCTAGCATGGCTAAAAAGAGCAGTGAAGGAGCAGCTGCATGGACAAGCTCACTTGGAGCCCTGGGTATGGACTTGAGTTCCTAGCCTGTGCTAGGGTCTGGGCCACTGTATCTCTACTGTTATTTTTAGCTGTGCTAGCTAGATTAAAGCGGGTACGGGTTTGTCTATCCAAGCTGCAATCACATCTCCCATTGCAGTGCACACATACTCAAAGGAATCTTTTTACCAGTATAACCACATCTACATTAGTGAGGTTGCACTGCTTTAACTATACTGGGATAGCAGTGCAAATACTACTGGGATAGCGGTACAATTGTTATGTGCAGATGAGGCCTTTGGCAACTTTCATTAATCTAAAATTCCTTGTTAGTGTTATGTGTCTGTCTATTAATTACAATGAAAATTATCCAAAACATCACACACCGGACACAAGATGCTGGATAACAAGTTGAACTTTGTAGCCAGACACAAAAGACAGGATTTTAAAGGTAATTATGACTGTGTGCGATTTCATTTTGTAATATTCAGAAAGGTCTGAAATAATTTATCCTGTGAAACAATCTTGAATGATTTTGATCATTAATCATAAATTACAGGGTCTTTTCGTTACCTCAATGATAGTAGAAGGAACGGACAAATATAAAATGGGTAAGTAAAATGTAAGTATGTATTTGATTGCCCAATAGACAAAAGGCCTAACTTATCTCTAGTGCAACCCCACGGAAGCTAGGTGAGTTAAACCAGGGATGAATCTGTTCCAGGGTGAAGTTAGATTTAGTTTTTAGTGTTTATAATGTGGTTATTTGCAATGAAAGGTGGAAACAAATAAAATGTGGCCAAAGACTAGCATGTAAACTGGAGCTGGCCGATCACTCAATGTGAGGGCTCATTCTGCAATGGTTATTATATGCAGCCCTTGCTCCAGCATAACTCTCATAACCTCAATGGGAGTTCTGCCTGAGTAAAGACTGTTGGGATTGGATCTCAACTTGTTCCAAAGGGATGTTTAAAGCATCCTTTATCCCAGATGATCTTGCTGAATGGGAAATATAACACCCAGCAGGTCTAGCAGTCAGATAGAAAAAGGTGGAAAATATTGACAACCAGACTAAAAAAAGTCATAGCTAACTGAACACAGCCCAAACGAATGACAAATCAAATTTCCCAAGATAACACTACCTGAATTGAATCTTCTATCCCCATACCTCCCATACACTGACCTGTATGTTTATTCCTTTAATTGTATTTGAATTTTTATTCCATAAAGTAAGTGACGATAACAAAACTGCAGCACTATGTGGCACTGGAGAGAAGATCAGGAATCATACTGAGGCACGTGACAGTAGTTGCTCTTTGTGCGCCCCCAGCCCAAGGCTGACCCCAGCCTGAAATACTGTTTTGGGCTGTTTTTTCAGACAGAAGAATCCTTTAGTTGTGTCTCTCTTTACAAAAAGAGAAATGCTCAGGGTGTCTCTGTTCCTGCCTTGTCAGTTCTCCATTCCTTCTGGTCTCATCTGAAATCCTCTTTTGACCATTCCCCATGCCATTTCTTTTCTAATTTCAATGTTGTAGCTGTATTTAAGCCTGTGAATTGTTTTTCAGATAACAAGCTCTGTACAATGAAGTTGTACTGATGAATGACATGAGAAGGGCCTTTTGCCTATTCCAGGTAATGGCTAAGAGACCTTTTGAAATGTAATTATGATGTCAGAAGGCTTCACCTCATGAGACTGTGGGAAAACTGACAAGACGATTGATTAGAGGAGGAGCGCAGACTCTACCTTGGAAAAAATGTTTGGGTTCCATACACATTACTGTCTTGGCTTTGCAACATTCGTGCAGGGTGAATCAGTCACTGAAAGCCAGGAGGGAGTTCACTGACTCTATGACTGAAATTTACTAGAAAAATGAAAGCCACAAAATATCTCCGAGGACAGGACTCCAGAGAGAGGCAGGGCTGTGCAGTCTCGTTTTCACAACACGCTCTGACATCAGGAATAACCTTAGCTGCACTTAAGTATTTATGCTACGTGTTCCAACAGCGCTTCTGTTCGAAGAGAACAAAAGGAGGAGAACCTTGATACCGTAACTTAGGTTTATCCTGTAAAGTCACGGTTCCTTACTCTATTCAGGTGGAGCAGGTCTCCACTAGAAACTGTTTCCAAGGTAGCAATGTCAGTTAGGAGGGTGATTTTTTTGGTAACATTTCTCTTCCGGCAAAAGCCCCAATGTAGATACGGTTACACTGGCACAAAAGTGCTTTGGCCAGATGATCTTATTTCACTCGGGAAATTGGTAGAAGCTATAACGGCAAAAGCACTTTTTTTTTGCCAGTATAAGCCGTGTCAGCACTAGGAAGGTTTGCCATTAGAGCTATGCTAGTATATCTGTTCCAACTAACCTTTTCTGGCCAGTGTCATATTCTGGCTGGCCTTGCAGGGGCGCACAAAGTGGGGGAGAAAGGAAGTGCAAAGAGCCTTCCCCTCACTAATGCCCTGCACAGGGGTCAGCTGCAAGGTGGCTGTGGAGTGACCACTGCCCCATAGCGAAGAGCTGGCAGTGCCCAGCAGAAATTCAGGCTGCTTCCATTTACACAGTGGCAGAGCTGCCATTGCCATGTGTGCTTCCTCGGAGACCCAGGAATTCTGACAAAGGGTTCGTCTACACTACCCACCGGATCGGCGGGTAGCGATCGATCTATCGGGGATCGATTTATCGCATGTAGTGCAGACGCGATCAATCAATCCCCGATCGCTCTCCCGTCGACTGCTGAACTCCAGCTCAGCGAGAGGCGGAAGCAAAGTCGACGGGGAAGCCGTGGCCGTCGATCCCGTGCCACGAGGATGCAAAGTAAGTAATTCTAAGTCGATCTAAGATACGTCGACTTCAGCTACACTATTCTCGTAGCTGAAGTTGCGTATCTTAGATCGATCCCCGCCCCAGTGTAGACCAGGCCCAAGTCAGCTGGAATTCTGCCTGAGAAACTCCTCCTGTAACATACAGGGGTGTGCCTGTAGGCCATAACCTGACCCTGGCCTTGTACAACAAGATCCTTATCCAGCAACTTGAAAATGAAACAGATCCCATGAATGTACCTTCAAACTAATTCTGCTTTTTAGGATGTAGGGATCACAGTCGTTGCAGCTGAGCTATTCACACACATTTCACTGTGGTACACTGATTACTAGTATACTTGACATTGTTATCTTTAAAGCACTGCACCAACATCATCCGGCTGAATGATGGCAACAATGACTTTCTGTTCATATAACATCTTCCATCCAGAAGGATCACAAAGTGGTTTGACAAATATGAGAAAAGGATCTGCATGATCAGCATAGATTTCTAAGGTGGTAAGGTCACTGTCAACACTAAGAGTTCAAAAATCATGAGTTAGTCTCCAAAAAACCAAGAGACCGGCTTAAAAACGATGAGATTACAAAAAATAATAAATGTTGGGTTCTTTTTATTTGCCTTACAGTTTTTACGCCTTTTGGGTACATTCAGGTCACTTTTCAAGCTTCTCCACAACAAGCGCTAGAAACATTTTTTAAAATGAAAACTAAGATTCTCCTGTGATCACCTGACTCCAGGAGGTGGGGCTTTAAGAAAAACAGCAACTATTGCAAGAGTTGTCAACACTGCTGGGGCTGAGGCAATGGTAGGGATGGTATCGGAAGGATAGCATAGGGTAAAGCTCTGACATCACTCTAATGCTCTTGAGGTTGAAGAGGGGATTAAATGTTATTTTCAGTTTCTTGAGACATTTCTTATGCTTATTCTCTGTATGAAGGTTTCCTCGTCCAAGCTCCCCTACGACATAGTGGGGCCTTACAGGCCCAACCCCCCACAAGAATGTATTTCTTTCCATAGTCAACCTTGTGACTCTCTCAGATGTCATCCTATCTTACTCTCTCCCTGGATTTCTATCTTTCTCCTTTCTAGCATAACCACAGTGCCCAGCACTGCTGCTTGCCTGGTGTGTGGGCACAGAAATGGATCACCATTCCCACGCAGTCACCAATGAAAGTGAAAACCACAATTATTGTAATGTCAACGCCCTGCCTTAGTGTTGGCAAAAAACACCTCTACCCCACCCAGCTCCTATTTGGTTATGATAGGTGTCCAAATATGAATTGGTTGTAAAGTTCAGGGTGCTGGGAAGTGAGGAGGGCTTCACAGCCTATTTGGGTCCGACACAGGCTTACAGCCGAGTTCTGAGCGATTCAGCAGAATGACAGAAGAACCTGTGATCTACCTGTGTGAGGGTCACTGTTTAGGATGTACAGAGCCTGTACAATACAGGAGCTAAATCCTGCCCTTGGTTACGCATGGGCCTTGGCTGCCATTAACGTCATTGGGAGCCATGCACGTTTCCAAGGATAGAATTTGAACTCAACAAGAATTGGATTTTCCCTTCCTTAGACTAAAGTATGAAGACAATGATAAAGACTAAAAAGAGAACTACAAATCTGCTCTAAATTTAAATCCAAATGCACCAGATTCTGGTTTTAGAAGCTCCGATATATGCTGTTAACCAGACATTAGAAAGAAAGAAATGATACTTTGCTCTTAGTGTTTGTACAGTGCTAGCACGACAGGGCCTTCTTCTCGGTTGGTCATTGGCCACAACCAAAATAAACATGATGATGATGATGAATACTAATAGATAAGACTTTCCATGCAAGGTTGTGTACCTGTAACAACCCAGGGATGATATCAGGAAGGAGCTGATGTAAAGATTCTTTTGAAATCCTTTCAATGACTTTTGTCTGCATTTTGATGGCAGCTAGATTAATCGGGTAGTCAGCCGTTTGAATGATGGGGCAGAGCACTTTGATGCACTGTTCAGGGTGTATGGAACTGGCCAGGGTGGAAGCAGCTTCCTCAGCAGCTCTGACAACCTGGAATAAAAAAACAAACCAAACCAAACATTAATGGACTCTCACTTCACAAGCAAAATAATTCTCCACACGCCAGCGAACACCAGGAAACTTCCACTGATGCTGTTCTATAATAGACCCCTTACAAGTACAAAAGGCATTCTTGAGGAGTGGGGGGCTCAGAGAATCGGCAACATTTGCTTCCAGCTACAAATCTATCGCAAGCAGGCCAGTAAGTGACAAAAAAATCACTACCACTAGTTCACAGATTAACAGATTTTAAGGCCAGAAGAGACTATTTGATCATCTATTATAGCTTCCTGTAGAACACAGGTTACAGAATTGCACCAAATGACTCTGGTATTGAGCCCAATAACTTGTTTGACCAAAGCACATCTTTAGAAAGCCTCTGGTCTTGATCTGAACATATCAAGAGATGGAAAATCCACCATTTCCCTTGGTAGTTTGTTCCAGTGGTTAGTCTGTATCTACAAAAACAACAAGGAGTCTGATGGCGCCTTAAAGACTAACAGGTTTATTTGGGCATAAGCTTTCGTGGGTAAAAACCTCACTTCTTCAGATGCAGTGGTTAGTCACCCTCACTGTTACTGAGGGCTGCACTTAAATATGCAAAGCCTCAGTCCATTCTTTGTGGGGCACAGAAAGCTGCATCAGTCTCCCCAAAACGGCATCATTGTTAGCAGTCTCCACAAAGAAGTCAAGGATGGACCAATCTCCGATACCGAACTACTCATCCTTTGGTGTTGTCAGGGTACAGGCACCATGGAAGAAGCTTGCACTGCTGCTGATTGCATGCTGTTCTCTATGGCTGAGGAATTGTCAATCTAGAACCTTTCATAACAGAACTTTAAAATGTTTTAGAAAAAGAGGGGCAATCTGCCAACTTGTTAGAATTCTATAGGGATCAATTCGCAAAGTGATACGTCATTCAGAAGGTCTGTGAATGAATACCCAACGTCTGCTCTGATGCTGCAGCAATATACAATTATTTGTAAATTCCTCTGCTGTTTCACACAATAGGCACGTGAAGCCAGGATTTCTTAGTGTCAATTAGAGAGAGAGAGAGAGAGAGAGAGAGTGTGTGTGTGTGTGTGTGTGTGTGTGTGTGTGTGTGGCATTATACGTTGTTCTTGAGGGTGGGGGAGAAATATCGGTATTTACCGATAGGAAAATCTAAGACTTTGGTGCAAAGGAATTAAACTGCTTGTGCTGATGAAATAAGAAACTCTCATGAGATCTCTATTTGGAGAGATTTTCTTTAAAAGCAATTCACTTCTTGGCACTGGCGCTTTTGATGGCTCCTTCCTCTGCATGGAAATGCAACTAGGATTAAGAGGAAGCTTGGATGTCTAGTCAACATTTGTGGGTGAGTCACACGTATTTGGACACAGGCCGTTCAGGATTATGCTTTGTGACAACTCTGAACGCTTCATTTGTAAATGTTATCACAGACACAATGACTAAGAAAAAATTGGACAAACAGATCACAATGTACTATGGAATTTTATCCTCTTCTTGGTGTTTTTCCTGATAAGACAGTGATGCTGTTTTAGTACACACTCGGAGACAGATTCTGATCTCAGTTACATCAATATAAATCTGGAATAATTCCCAAAAAATTACACTGACTTGGGCCTTAGACCTGCATTATTTGCACATGTAAGTTTTACATGCATATAATGCTGCAGTATTGGGGCCCATTTTTTTTAGTCAGAAAAGTATCTACAATCATTAACGTTATTATTCATTCAAGAAATATAGTCACAGGGTAATAATTTTCCACAAAACGTGAAAATGGCAATGAAGGATCCAACGGTTTTGCCATTATAAACTCAGCATGAAAAGTTGCCTTTGGACTAAATCTTAATTGTGGGAATTAATTTTTGCTCACCTTTTAGAAAACAAATTCTGCAGTTTTTGAACTTTAGGAGTTTTCACACAATGGAGGTTGGGGTTTTTTTGGCATTTTTTTCTAACTGGAATTTTCCATTAATAGTGATGTTGACTACAATTGTGGCATTCTAATACATAACTAGAAAGTGCCAGATTAGCTGGTATAGAAACAAGTTGTATTATACCTACACACCCACTTTTTCAAAACATTGCCTAAAGGTTCCCAGTGGGTGGGCCTAATTTACTTGGCCAGCAGCTGGTTATTTTTTATTGGGTCACTTCTCCATGAACTAAATTTCCACCGCGTAGGGAAGAGAAAATTGCATAATTCATTTTCTGTTCAGAGCCAGTGGAAGATTTCTAGTCTTGTGAGAGCATATCAAGTAAATGGGGTCTGCATTTAGATCACACTTCAGCAAAGCACTTAAGCACACGTTTAATTTTAAGAACCTGCTGAAATCCAATTGATGTCAATGGGATTTAAGCATGTGCTTAAGTGCTTTCCTGAATTGGCGCCTTAGCGAGTAAATGCCTATTTTGTTCTCTCTCTCGCACACACAGACACACTATTACTTTGGAAAGGCACTGCAGGGGATAGGGTGTCTTAAGAGTTCCTGTCAACCTATTTTGATCCAGCAGGACAAATTGTTCTATCATTACATCTACATTGGCACCTTACAACAAAATGCCACCATGTTGCATCTCAAGCAATAAAATGGCAGTTAATAATTTAGGGCTTAATCCAGCATTCATTGTGCACCCAAATCTCCTACTGGCTTCAACAGTGATCAGGCCTTCAGTACAATTCTTCTTCTAAACCACCAATGAGATTAACTTTACATGTTATCTTTCATGCATTGGACCATTTCCTTTTCATATATATGAAAAGACACATCTAACAGCTCTTATACAGGTAAAATATTCATCAACTTCATAGGTCTGTAGGATTAGTTCTATAGAGATAAAGCAAAGAGAAAATCAGTAGCAAGAAATAGTCCCTTTTCTGACCTTTAAATTGATGCAGATGTTTTGTAACCATTTCCCAAGATAATTGAATATTTCTGTGTTTATTTTATTGGTGTGAAACAAAGGAGTGGGCGGGTGAGATTCTGTGGCCTGCAACATGCAAGTGGTCGGACGAGATGATCATGATGTTCCCTTCTGGCCTTAAAGTCTATGACGGGTCACATCAATGGTATTGTTTATGGCAAACGACATTTCTCCTTAGTCAGGGGTGAGTAAATTTACTGGAACAAATGAGTTAATTTTAAATAATTGGGAACAGAAAGATGGTTCTTTTCCACTAACTCTAAGCAAAAAGTGATAAAAAAATCACCAAACAATAATACGTCCCACATCATTCTTTGAGCACTAAAAGCTAATTTAAATTAAAAGCAATTGCTTGCCAACCCCTGAATATTTCTTTACAATTAAGTAGCAATGGGTCTAATTATTATTTCATACCAGTGTAAAAAATAGGGACTCCAATTAAGTCAATGGAGTTAGACTGGTATAAAAGTAGGGAAAAGTAAAAATCAGAATCAAGCCTAATTTCTCTAATCTTATAGTTACATTCATTATAATTATGGCTACAACTGAAGCAGCTCTGAACAGTAGTACATATACAGGGGGCAGAGGCAAGGCTGAGTAAGGAACCTTGAAGTTGTCATTTCATGACTTTTGAGAGCTTCGCTTTGTAACCTTAATATTCTGTTTTTGTTGTTTTTTACATTTATAGGCGTACGAGCGATCTGTTTTACTAGCCTCCACAATTCTTCCATAGATGCTTTTACTGTCAGGCTGCCTGATGTGTGTACATACGAGACTTGCTGGATTGGGAAGGAATTTTCTCCCAGGTCAGATTGGCAGTGACCTTGGGGGTGGGGGTGGGGAGTTGCCTCTCTCCGCAGTGCAGGGTGTGAGTTATTTGCTGGTATCTGGGTATATCTCACTTATTCAATTACTTCCCACTGCAAGGACCTCGGGCAGTGGTGCACTTCGGTCCCTCCTGTTTTCTGCCTGTGGTGCACAATAGTTTAGTTTTCTGAGGGCTATAATACTTGGGTTAATTTTAGTTGTTGGGTTTAGGGTGTGGGTGCTGGGTGGTGTTGGTGGCCTGTGACGTACAAGAGGTCAGACTATATGATCTGGTGGTCCCTCTGGTCCCACTCTCTATAGCTCTATGACTTTCTGGCACTGACAGACAGCAATATAACTATTGAAAGGTGAATTTCAAAAGGTCCAGGGTGTGGGTTTGGATAGCAGCTGGAGATCTTCACGATGTGTGGTCCCTACCTGTATTCCACTGTGGGGGTACACATGCGCTCCATGGACCTGAGATCAGAAGATTTTTGCTAGCAGTGTCTCCTGGCCCATGCCTGCATGCTTCTATTCCGCATGCTCCAGATCAGGGGCATAAAGGGCAATCCGGACAGACTGCCTCTCCAGTTCCTTCCCTACTGTAAGCTTTGGAAGCAGAGGGGAAGGCAGGTAGTGGAATACAGAGAGCGGTCTCACATCTCGAAGAACTCCAGTTACTGTACAAGGTAAGTGACCTCTCTTTCTTCTTCAAGTGCTTGTCCCTATGTGCATTCTACTGTGGGTGACTGACCAGCAGTTCTCATTTAGGAGGAGGATGCGAGGACCTACACAGTATAGATGACTGATAGACTGCAAATCCAAAGGATACATCAGCTGCAGAGGTTGAACTAGTGCATAATGTCTTGGGCAGGTATGTGCAGAGCTCCACACTGCCGCTTTACAGATATCAAAGAGCAGCACTTCATAAAGTGAGGCTACCAAGTTGTCTGGGCTCTGGTAGAGTGGGCTCTCACATGTTGTGGGGGTGGGGTATTAGCTGACTGTTAACAGAGGAGAACCCGCTTGTCCTTTCATCTGTTCTGCCAATGACTTCAACAGTCTAGGTGATTTCCTAAATGACTTTTGTCTTTGTAGATAAAGTGCAAATGCCAGCATAGATCCAGGGAGTGGAGTTTCCTCTCCTCATTGGTGGCATATGGCTTTGGAAAAAAGACAGGTGTGTGTATTGTCTGGTTTAGATAAAAGGCTAAGATTACCTTGGGGGTGAATTTTGGGTGTAGTCCCAA